CCTGCTGCACTAGGTCAGGTTTGTGTCCATCATACTGCATGAGCTGTCTCATCGGCATGGGTTACAGGACAGGATGTGTATCTGCATCTCAGCCATTGCAGCATCCCCCATGCACATGAGAACAGACACCACTTCTTCATGCTTTTAAATGAATACACCAGCCTGTCAGACGAGATGGCTGTAAGGAAGAGGAAAATTTCTGTTGTATATACACTAACAATGCAGGGGTTTGGGACAGGCAGCAGTCCCAGCAGCCTGCAACAGCATCCATCTTCCAGAAACCTCAGGGTGCAGTTTTACATTTCAGCTAGGACAGCCTTGTGTTGGGGTCATGCAGTATGCTTTCTCCCTTTTCCTTTTGGTTTTGAGAGTTTTTAAACTCTGTTTTTTTACTGTATTGTATTGTAGCTTCAATGTGAGGCTGTTTGTTCAATTTCATCTAAAGGAAATCACTTCTTATGAATCTGTTTATCAATTGTTTTCAGAGTGAAATTTTTGCTGGAACAGCCAGATAAACAGACTTGCCATTGATGGATCAGGTACCAGGCAAGTGGCCGTGCATGCTGCTGGGATTTGTGACAGTGATGGACCACTCACTTTCAGATCAGTTCAGCCATAGTGTGAAACAAGTGCAGTCCTAGTCACTTTAGCAATGTGGTCAAGAGACCACTTTGGTCCATACAAAGTGGTACCACTTCCATCCTGACCACCTCGAGTGATACCGTTCCTGGCTCCCTTCTCCCAGTGACTCACTTCCACTGCCTAGCACCATTGATTTTCTGGTCCTTCAGTGAGCCAGTTCAGGATGCTAAACAAGCAGGAAAATATTGGTGGGTTTTTTTATATTATCCCTCTGCTAATTTAAGAGATGTCAGATATTTGATAAATCTCCATTATCCATGAATCAGGACAGCCCTCTCTCTTTTGCAATGTATGACAAGAAAGCACACATAAGTCCGTCTGTATAAGTAGCCCTTGTCAGATTACAGTCTTGTTAAGCATCTGGAAGAGTTTCCTTCCTCATACTCGAAAAATGCCTGCTATAATGTAAGAATATTAACCAGGATTTAAAAGAGAAGAATTCTGCTTGTGCTCCATTTCTTTCTTTAGCCTCTCAACATTTCTGCATTATAATTTTTCAGTGTCTCGAGGACTTTTTTGTGGGTTTCTTTTTGTTTGGTCCATTTTGTAATCATTTCCCCTTTTTTATCTCTTGTTTTTCAGTTGAGATCAAGCTTGGACATTGGCCAGGACATCCTGAATGACTGCCCTGCAATCCAGCCCCTCCAGCCAGCCCCGTCACCAAATGATGCTGCAGACAATACCATGAGATGCTCCGCAGAGCCTGCTCACAATATTTACCCAGGTATAGAAAAAGGCAGATAAGCAGCCTGTTATATTATTATTTACTTAAGATTAGAGATTATTTTGCAGAGTAGGATGTACTCTAAAACTTACATCTATCAAATGAGAAAGATAGAGTCTGCAAAGTAATATAAAAAGATAGATTTGGGACAGATTTTTACACCTTTTTTTGAAAGGAAGCAGGACAAATCATCTTTTGGCCATGAAGAGACCTATTACAATAAAGAGAAATATTTTTGCCCTGTAGGCATTTGACTTCTACTAGCAATTCACTTCTACCATTGTAGACATCTTGAATTCATTAAGCTTCATTTAAAATCAGAGGATTGTTTTCCCTCTTCCTTATTCATGAATCGCATATCAGTTTTCCAATAGATCTACATTAATGAACTTAATTACTGCAATGTGAGCTCTTATTTGTAAGTATAAATACACCAATAAATACATTAGTGCTATAAATGTGATAATTCTATTGTATTGTTTCAGTTAAGTATTTGAGATTTTCATATTGAAATACCTAACTGCATCATACCTGGCTAAAGGTACAATTGTTCATATTTCAGCTAAATTTGAAACATTGTATACGCTTTGAGTGATGATGCCTTCTCAGAGCTTAAGACAAGTATGGGCTAGATGGTACTGCATTTTTAATGCAGTATTTTAGTAGTTGTGAAGACATCTGTTTTTAACTTTCAGGCAGAATGCATTACATCTTCCAGCAGTTCAACTTTTAATTGAGAACCTTTAATTGAGGCTTGTAAACTTATCAATTCTATGATATGTTTTTTTCAAGGCTGTTGTGAGCTACACATTAGGTGGTGATGATGTAGGTTTGTATGACAAAAATCAGGAAATTCAGAACTGTGATTGACTGTATCCTAATTTATAAAATAGCTGGTATTACTTTGTGGTGTTAACTCCTAAATGCCCTAGCCTGAATATAGGCTGACTATGGCATTTGTTATTTAAAGAAAAATAAAAATTTCAGTTTTTAAAAATTTCAGATTTTAAATATCTGGTTTTGGCCTGGGAACCTCTAGTGACGTTGTTTTGGTTACAGTTGCTTATTTTATATTGAACTTAGAGATGGAGTTGGATAGTGAGGAATGTTGAGGTTTAAAAAATAATTTGCTGGCATTACCCAGTGTAATGTGCAGAACTGAGAGAGAATAGAAGACTAAGCTTTTTCTTTTCCTTACAGGACCCTAGATAGGATGGAAGCCAGGTGGGGACAGTGTGTCAGATTAGCTGAGACCAGTTTTTCAGAATTTGAGGACATTCTCACAGATTTCCACTGGCATCTCTTGAGCACTCAGCTCTGTTACCATTCTAGCTTTCAGACCATGATTGAGTGTCAAACTTTGGCTGCTGAGTCAATCCAAACCCTAGGCTGACCATGGCTTGAACTGCTGCTGCCCACTGACTTCTCAGGGTCCTAAGCCAAGTAAAGGTATAGCCTCCAGCCAGCCCTTTGCTGGCAATTGTCTGCAGCTTCTGAGTCTGTGGCATTACTGTTTGTAATCTCATTCATGTCTTGTCTGTCAATAGTTGGGATTTACAGCACTACTGTGGATGTTCTTTAATGTAGTAATTTCTTTCTTTTTATATTTTACTTGACACTGCTTCCTTTTGTGCAGCATTTTTTATAGCATGAATCAACATTAAAGAGCATTACTTTCTCTGTAAGTAATAAACTGCCTTACTTTACCTGTGTTCACAGCTATCACTTGGCAAATTTCTGTTAGTTTTAGTCGCTTGTGTTACACATCAGTTAACTGAGGGTATTATGTCAGATATAGATGAATCTATGTCACTTCATTTTGGCAACAATTTAATCCAGCTGAAATTAATTGTTTAATTTACTCATCTGGGCTGAATACAAAATAATAATAATAATGTGAACAAGTGACATAACTCTTAACAGGAAGGGAATTATTTTTTTGAAATTGCAACATGAATATTATTCATGCCCCAAGAAGAGACAAGCGAAACATATAAAAGCTTAAGTGTCCCTCCTTAGAGAATCTACCTTTCAAACTTCTCTGTAAACAATATTTTTTCTAAATATAAAGAAAAACATTGAGACTTTTCTGAAAAATAAAATATGTAGCTTTTACTGGGAACTGTTAGAAGAGACAGCATATTAGCCAAAATGTCTCTGCACTACTTTTCAAGTAGAAACAGGAACAGATTTGCATTCTTGCAATGCCATTAAATAAAACTTTTCTCACTTGAAGGTTAATTTTCTTATCATCTATGCACTTTTAAAGCAAAGATAAGTTTTCTCCTTTCGTAATATATCTACAGAATAAATGTTTGAAAGCAAATGATTAGGAATATGTAGGAGATAACAAAGGTAGACATCTAGATGCTAGTCCCTTTCCACTTACCAAAGTACGACAATGTCTGTAATTATTGTTGTATCTCTGTACTGTTAAAAGTACGGAATCTGCACACATGGTTATATTTAAATGAAATACAATAGTCTTTGTGATTGTGTATCTATTATTTAAAGTTAAGAGTGCACAGATGTTTTATCTTGTGGCCTTTGTGACGTTATAAAAGAAATCTGAACTGAGTATAATCTTACTAATACAGTGAGGTCACATGTCAGGTCCTTTGCTTAAAACTAAAAAAATTACATTTACAGGTCTAAAGTTAAGTAAGCATACATAATCTACAGCGAAGTGTAGTGGTATTTTGTAAAACAGAAATTCAAATTCTGTTTCTACTGAGATGTGAAATTTCTGCTAGCATCCAGGTTTTAATTTTTAAAAATACAAATGCTTTGGGGTTTATTCATTTCATAGAATGAAAATGTGATCAATTAATTCATAATAAGAACATATGAATGATGGTTTTTGTATTATGAAATCATATCAACTTACTTTGCATAGTACAATCTAGAATCCCTAACACTGACGGAATCATAAATAATGCAATACAAAAATTTTTTTTTACCATTCCGTTGGTTAAAATTTGACCACTTCATATTTAATAATAAACCGGAATGTGTCATTCATTTATAAATAGCTACTGAATATCACGCTCTGCTCTACTCCAGAGCCAACCGTTTTCTAAAGCTTGTCAAGTACATGATTTTCTTTGCAAGTTAAAAATTAAAAATTGAATCAGAAAAGTTGCAGAGGGTTTTGTAGTGAAATTCTAAGTGTACTTTAAAGAATGTCTTACACTCCAGTACTGTGAAACTTTGACCTAAGTACTTTTAATGACTTTAATGACTTAAGATGTGCTTTACTTAAGTAACACTTCTTCTTCTGTGTGTGGATTTGTTGGATTTTTTCCCACAGTGGGAGCCCAGGTACACTTTTCTGTCATGGTGTGATCATTTAACATAACCTGTGTACAGGATTATGTTTTTGCACCTAATATGTACACTTTTTCTTCCTTAAATATCCTACCTGCCCCTCTAGTCCCTGCCATAGTTAGCTCTTATTTTACACTGTGTACTATCTCTTTGTCAGAAACAGAGAAGTTGCTGGGAAACATGGCCAGAATGTGCTACATTAGCAGGTACTGCTATGATGGTGAATATTGCAATGGGCTCTAGGTTGCTCTAGTTCACAGAAAGGACAGAGGGTTGCCCATGCCTGGCTGCAGATAACGTTTTACCAGGGACAGAGTCACCAGGTCTTAGGCAGTACTGTGGGAACTTGTGTTACCACTGCAGCCTGGACCAGCTAGAAATGTGCAAGCACAGCTTAGAAAATACTTGCCTGAAATCCTTATCATGGTTGAGACAGAGAGCAGCTGTGACAGGGAAGAAAAACTCATGCTACCTTATGCTGGAAATCTAGTCATAGTCCTGCGTTTTCACTCCTGATCAACCACAGCCTTGAAGACATTTTCCTTTGAACTCCAAGATCACAGTACTGGGAAACTAAGTCATTGTATTTTCACACAATTTAGTGCTTTTCTCCTGGAAAAATGCAAGTTACCCTGTTTTTGCAAGGAACAATTTAAATAGTCTCTCTTTTTATTTAGGTAGTCAGGGTTTTTCTTTGCAGTGTAGTGATTTGTTAAATTTTCTCTCTGCTTATTCTGCCAGAATGGGCATTTGGTTGTTTTACATTATTTTCTTCTGCACTGCATGTAAGTATAAAATACTAAATTCAAAAAGTTTATCTGTTGCTTTTCCCTCTGTATTTGTCTTGATGCAACTCAGAGACAGGTATAGAGAGAGTGATTTTGGAGTGCATAAGCAAAATGAAAAAACCAGCAAGAGCTACCTTCCCCTGTCGTAGAATCGTAGAATCATTAACGTTGGAAGAGACTTCTAGGATCATTGAGTCCAACCATCTTAGGGTGGGTTCTTCCCAAGCCCTTTCTTAGTGTGTTACACTGCTGGCTTAAGTGATGTCTCATCTCCTTGTGGGTTACGCATTCTCTGTACCTCTCTTAAGGTGTGGGATGCCATCTACTATCAGATGTGAGTTGTCACTTGGGTTGTGATTAGGAGACTCTGGTTCATAAAAGAATTAGCAAACAGTAGAGGCTAGTGCAAAGGACAGTTGCTGGCATTTTTGATGGTCCTCCTGGCCATGTGGTGAGGCAATCTCCACTCCTCCAGCTTTTCCCACCAATGTGGCTCATGTGAACTTTCTCTAAATTTTGATGTTACCTCTGCAGCAGCTATATTAGATATTTCTATTCACAAAGCAGTTTTCTATGTGTCATCTTGCACTGTCTGTCATCTCACCATCTGAAAGATGTCCAGAACTGCTCTTTTATGAGGCTACAACATAATTAAACATATATAAACAACATAATTAACTTTCCTTAACTCTGCCTTAGCCTGGTGAATAACTAGTGTGTCACGAAGGCTGTCTTGTGAGGATGAATAGAGGCTTCCCAGCAATAGGCTGGGGACTTGGAAGATGAGTTAGTCTTTTCACCCTTTTGATCTTGGGTAGCAACATTCAAAATTGTGACCTGTGAAATCATTTTCTTGAAGACAGATTTGTGTTGGGGTTACTCTTAAAGCAGTGTTTTTTCTGTTAGGACTGCAGCATCCGTCCAGGTATTTTAGCCTAGAAAGATCTTTTACTCTCTTCCCTTTTGGTTTGAATTGTAGGATTTTGTCAATAAATTTGAGTCATTAACTCCAACGTATTCACCAACATAAGTTTTATAGGTAGAATCTTACTCTGTAAACTAGGCCTAAACAATACTTTCTCATAAAGAAACTGCAAGCTATGACAACCAAACACTGAGGGGATCATTTTCATGTTGTAGAAAGCCTATTTATTTCATTCTCAGGGTTCGTAAAATATTTAAGAGCATGTATTTGGCTGTCATTCAACTTTGACATAAGCTACCTGACACAGATGTCAGTAAAAGTAATTTACTAACTGCATTTTCGGAGAGATTTGATAATCAGTGTCTTACCTTCGGACTGCCTAATGTAAAGAGCTTCTGAAAATGAGGGTTACAGGATTTGGGATCAAGTAATTAGGACATTCAGAGGGAGTCCTGCATTGCTTTTTGTTTAATCACCCAGAACCTTTCCTTATTTGGAATGTATACAAGAGCAACCTTACAGAGAATTATGAAACTGTTAATGCTAGTTTAAAATTTCTGTATGCAATACTGAGGAGTCTGGACTCAATAATAGCAATATTTGAATTTGGGTTGACCTCTCCAAGAAATTTGGGATTTTTACAGCTGAGAGGAGAATGTAGAAAGTATTTCATTACTTACAAAACTGTGCTTTCTCTTCACTAGGTCTAAAAAGATATATCTTAGGAAATATTTGCTACCTTTTCTACAACAGAAAGCTATAGGAGATTTCCAGCCTTATTCAGAAAACATCCCAAGACAAAGAGCACAGCTATGTCATGCCTGTTTTTATGAAAGTGTCACTTGAGAGTAGCAGTGATTATTTATTTGATTCTATGTGTTAGGTTTTTTCCTTCCCTTTAGACAGAAAACAACACTTGAAGAAAACCAGTTGGTTGCTAAAAAATGGCACTACAGGTTTAGGGGCATTGTTACCCATTAGTGTTTGGTCAGGTATCAGTGCTATCACTTGCCTTATCAGAGATATTTCTCTACTTTCGCTTTCAGCAACTGTGTTCTCCAGCACACAGACAAGTCAAAGTGGAACAGCAGCAGGGACAGTGTCCTCATCCCACCCCAGCAGCCACCCCTCCTCAGGACGTAATGTACAGGATAGTCCTCTGCATCTTCCCCCCCAGTTACCTCTTCTGTCAGCTGTGGACTTGGAGAGGTAAGACCAGCCCCTACTTTTCCCACACTGAGCTTGAGGCAGCAGTGACTTTCAGAGCTGCCAGGATGGGTGCAAAATGAGTCGCTGGTGCGCAGAAAGTCACTGGTGGCGGCCCCTGGGTAACAGTTGCTTTGGGTATGGGTTTACCAGGGGAAGGAGAGGTGAAAGGGACTCTGTTATGTCAGCCTGGGCATGGAGGGGTTCCATTCAACTCCATTTCAGGGACTTCCTCTAATTCCTTCTTGATCTCCACCAGTGCCCCGAGTAACGAAAGTCACACAGGCCGGGACACTAAACTTCAGAGGAGCCCAGCCATGCTGTACAGAATGGGGCCCCGAGATTAATCTTTCTGTTCACTTGTGGTAGGAGAGTCATATTCTGTCAATATTTTCTCAATACTGAGTATTTTTGCAAGAACTTGGCAGGTTTTTTTCTTGGCATTTTATTAAGACCAATAGATAATGAACGAATCTTTAATTCAGTGGTTTGAGAGCTTGATTATAGTCAGGATTTATTTTATGCTGGCTAGGTACAAACCCCTTGACCTTTGCTGTTTCTGTGATTTTAGATGTTTCGGTGATGTGAAAGCAGATTTCTTGGCATGTTTAGACATTCCCTAAATTATTTTAAACAATCTTTCCAGTTATTTGTGTAGTGTACAGTATTATAGATTTCCACTTAGATAACTGTACCAGAAATCTACCTGATCACAAGACTGAAGATACCTAAACAAATAGGTTTTCAGTGCAAAAGTTAGTAGGATATATCATCAAACAAAATACTGAGTTCTTACTGTGTATATATGTATATTAAAACATTATTTCGTTCATGTCTCTCTTTTTCAGCGCTCTAAATGGTAAACTGCTGTATTTCATTAATGTATTTCAAAGTGTTTCATTTCCTTGAGTGACAGAAATAACAGTAATTTGGAGAGCACAAAGTGTCCAATTACGAACCTGGAAAGAACATTCACTAGATTTCAATTAACTGATAAATAAGCATAATTTCTTTGGAGGAAAACAGTACTCTCTCTGCCTTGTACCAGAAAGATGGAAGAACATGATGACTCAGGGAATTGACAGCAGGTGAAAGTACTTTTTTATTTCAGACTGCAGGTGTGAATTCAGCCAGTTCTGGAGCCACTGGAAGTTGTTGAACTTCTTGTACACCATTCTGAGATAAAATTTGCCATTTCATGATCATTGAAGTTAATCCAGTGGTTCAGTCCTTCTTCCCCGTTCCTGGCTACACGGTTCTGGCCTTCTTCACTTGCCCTGGCTCTGACCCTCTGTGCAAACTCTGGGGCTGCCCATGCTCTCTTGCCTGACCAGAGGCTTTTTGTTCCCAGGACAGTTTTCTTTCCAGTGCATGAACTGTCCAACATCCATATCCAACAAGTGCCAGAGCATGATGTGACAGGTATGGACAGATGAGTAGCCATTACAGGTATAAATTTAGTGATAAAAGACAGTGATCTTCCTATTAGCCCATTTCAGAGGCAGTTACTGGTGTAGGACCATTACAGACACATTTAGAGTATGACTTAACTCATGAAGTCCTTGGATGTGTTACAGACCTCAGGATACTGCAGTACTCTACAGGATAACAATAATAAAAAGCTAGTGTGATACACTCCTTTCTCATACATTATCTGTATACACTCTCTCTAAAAAGGCTTTAAGTGCTAATTGCCATACATAGAGCTGCTTTTGATTTTTTAAAAAAAGGTACCAATATTATAATTTGGTGGTGTGAAAAATGGCAATTTAAACTTGGTTAAGAAAAAAAGTATTACAGCAGTGTTGATTACAGAATATATATTACAAATTAAGATAAATGCTTAGATGAAAAACTAATGCAAAATCTACATCTTGAATCTAATGCTGTCCACTGGCCTGCGAGTAGGCTGTCATTTATACTACTTCATGTCTGTGATGCTAGCTGTGAAAATGTGACCTAAGCAAACCAACACTTCAGTATACAAAGTGCCAGAGACAGTGTTTTTGAAACATGTGAATCACCCTGTTTATCCCTATCTCATCATTGAGAGGACTGCAGGATTTAGGAGTGCAAGCTGGGGATTTGTTCCCCGCCATGCTGTGTGATTCCTGACGTGCTGTGTGTGCCCAGGGTCATTGCAGAGCTAGGTCTGGCTGGCCAGCACTCGCCCCTGGGATAGCCTGCGTTTGTTTGGCTGAAGCCTATCCAAGCTGGATTGGCTGTTTTGGCTGTTTTTGCAATTCTAGAGGCCAGTTATGTGCCCTTTCCGTTCTAGAC